CGCACGCCCAAGTGCGCGCGCTGCCGCAACCACGGCGTCGTGTCCTGCCTCAAGGGCCACAAACGCTTCTGCCGCTGGCGTGACTGCCAGTGCCCCAACTGCCTGCTGGTGGTGGAGCGGCAGCGCGTCATGGCCGCCCAGGTGGCGCTCCGGAGGCAGCAGGCCACCGAGGTGCGTACCGCCGGCCCGGGGCGCCGCGCTGGGGGCCCGGAGCCCGAGAGGACGCGGCTGCTCCCACCCGCCAGACCCGCTTCGGAAGGGTGGTGTGGACTCCGCTCCGTGGGCCCGCGCTGGCCGCCGGGAGGGGTCGGTAGAAAAGACTTTGTATTAAAAGGCGGCCGAGAGGTCTGGAGGTGGTTAGGCCTGTTCGACACGTTATGGGAAAGTCACTCGCTTTTTAAACATTTGTTTTGGTGGCCCTGCCGGGGGACGGTAGATGGGAGCCGGCGCGCGGTGTCCGGCACCACGCCGGTCACCGCCCCACTGGTGCTGGTGGCGCAGAGGAACCACGCTGCCCAGAAAGCACACGGTGCTTCCGCGGTCACGGGGCCGTTTGAGAGAGGGCAAGTAGGTGCCCATTTTACAGATGAGAACCACAGTGGCGTGGGAAGGGAGGAGCCCGCAGCCCAAGGCCATGCAGTCAGAGGCGAACATTACCGTCCCCGTGAACGAGCTAAGAACCCCAGGCAGGGGTGTCTGCCTCTCCCCTTGGGGCGCCAGCTGCGGGGAGAGCCCAGAGTTTCTTTACGGGGGAGCTGCTTCTAGAACCCGAGTTTCTGTTTGTGTTGTTCCTGCGAGTGGAGAGTTCATAGCGATGGAGGCTTCGCCGGCCATCCCCACACTCCGGCCTTGGGGGGATTTGTGAGTTTGCTTTTTGGTGGAGAGGAGTGAGGCTGCATGCATCAAAGGCAGTGACCCCGACGGAAAGCCCCCTGCGGGCCCTGGGGAGCGCGCCGGACGCTGAGGTGTCGGGTCCCGCTCTCCTCCCGAATCCCGCGTCAGGGCGGCGGGCCCTGTCGTTCCCGTTGGGCGCAGGCGCGGCGAGGCGCGGATTCCCACCAACCTGGCCAGGACAGCTGGGGCAGGAGGCGTCCCCTTGTCCTGCGCCTCTTGCAGATCCCGAGGGTTTGTTCGTTTTCCTTGCGCCCCAGTCGCCCCGTGGCGTTTGTGGGAAAGCCGGGCCGGGGAGAAGCTGAGATACAGGCACCCTCCTGTCTTCCCCTGCGATCTGCCCCGGTTCCACTCCAGTCCGCCCGCCCCCCTTCTGGGAGACAGCAGCCCCGCAGCACCGACCAACTGCAGGCCCAGAGCACCTCGGGTTCCACTGGTGGGCGCCCAGGCCTGGGGTCCTATCGCCAACTCCCCAAGGTAGATTCACCCTCATGTGGCATGTCCCAGCATTCCCGGCCGCAAGCCCCTTTGCAGGAAGAGCCTGGGGTGACTAGCAAAACGACCTCAGAAGGCCGGGCTCCTGCTCACGCTGACTGGACAGAGCCTCCAGCTCCTTGCGCTGGGGCCAGGGAGCGCCAACAGAATTCATTTTGGAATCATTGTCACACAGGGTGGGGAAATAAATATGTCTAGAGCCACGGGAGTTTCTCGACGATTTGCCCACGCCCCTTCTTTCTCTCCCTCATTTTCCTGTGGGCATTATTGATGATGTTTCTGTGTTCACAGGACAAGAAGGGACTTTCCGGGAAACAGAATAATTTCGAACGCAAAGCCGTGTACCAGAGGCAAGTCAGGGCGCCCAGCTTGCTGGCCAAAAGCATTCTAGAAGGTAAAGAAATGCAAACGGCTCCTTTTTACCTTTAAGTGGGATCCTGAGTGCCTCTTGTCATTCAGACACACAGCACATTTATTAACCTGTGAGCGAGCTGCCTGAGGGTAGCTAAATGAAAAATATTTTTATTAGAAAGTTTTCCTCTTGGAAGGAAACCAGGACTTGGGAAAGTAATCTCACATACCTGCTGAGGTGTTTGCCACCGTCACGTCGACAATCCTGGTAATGTCGTTGCCCGCTGAATCGTTAATGGGTTAACACAGAGTGTGTACGAAATTTGGCCCAGCCTGAGGGAGGTTTACAGATAAACTGCCAGTGATGGGAGCAGATGGCCTGGAAGAAAATCAAAACAAAACAAAACCTTCCTTAGTTAATCGCTGGGGTGAAATAGAGTTGGTTAAGGAGGAGTTTAACCCATGAGCAATAAAAACCTTGAGTCGGAGTGATTCGGTCTCAAACCCCACTCTTTTTCTCTGTACTTTTTTCCTCCAGGGATTATCTAGATAACTGCCTTTATTCAACACTTCATTTTAATATTTTTGACAGTCCAGGTCTTAGAACCTGAAAAGGTTTTGAATCAGAGCAGCCAGCAAAGCGGAGGTTGCAATGTGTGAAGTCTGTAGCTCTCCCTCTGGGTTTTCACTTTCTGGGGGACAACTTAATTGTTCATGAAGTATTACTGATGGTTTAATCATTTCTATTCGGGCATGAACCTTATTTCTTTATCTGCTAAATAATCTATTAACTATCTTCCACCATTGAAATAAAAGGAACGTTTATATTTCCTTGAATCACTTGTCATGTCGTCCAATTCTGGTTGAAAAGCAGAATTTTTCTGTAAGTAAATCTTTGAGTCCTGTGTTTTCCTAGCGTGGTTTCTGAATTGAGTTGGTTCTGGGCGGGTTTCTGAGTTGTTTTCTGTCTGACCCTGGGCTGTGTGCTTCTAACCTTAGAGTGGTTTCGCATGCATTAAATAGAAATTTGGTTACAAACTGGGTAAACAGAATTATAACCATAGGGACAACACCGATGAATTGAAATTGTGCCAAAGCAACTTGAAAAGTGGGAGGAGGAAACGGGAATCATAAATTCAAGTAAATAACTTCCTGGCAAAACTTACCATAGAAATGGCAACATTATTTTTCAAATTTTATTTGCAAATGAGTCTGATGGATTTGTCTCTGTGTAAACACAAATACCACAATGGATCCTTCAAACAAATTCGATAGTGCTGAGTGCTTTGGGGATGATGAAATACTCAAAGTGTTTTACGCTGCCAGGAATTCTGTTTATGTTACGCTAATCTTTATTTTTGACTTTGCCCCGGTTCGTAAAATACGCGATGACTTTATCTGTGTTCTAACGACTACTTGTTCAACCATTTTGGTATGTGGCCAACATGATGAGCGCTTGAGAAAAATGTTGTAGACCAGTTATTTTCAATATAGCAGGGAATTCTTCTCTCTCCCCGCCCCGCCCCCTTTTTGTTTGCACTACTGGTTAGGGAAAGGGCCTAGTTAAATGGTTCACTGCTGAGTGCGTTTGACTAGTTAGGGACCCTTCAGTGTTCCACGCTTCTCTGTTCCCTTAAGTCTTTTCTCATGTTCTCCTCACTAATCTGCTTTAACTTTCTTTCTTTCTCTTTTCTTCCTAGCTCTCTTTGGATTATTCTACACCTGTAACAGTGTGTACATAATGAGCCACCTTTAGGAAATAAAAGTGACATCAGCTCTAGGTATAGATATCTTTTTGAATCATGGAAAAAAGGATGATGTGGGTTGTAAGAAACCATTGACTGAAGCAAGATGAACAACCTTGCCTCTTAATGTACAGGGACCTGGCAAGAATATAATTTCAGTCGGTAAAGTACGCCTGTCAGAACAAACACACGAACTTATCACGACGACAACAAAATTGCCATATGGATATCCTTCGTTCCAAAGGGAATTATTTTAAATTGAACTTAAGAGTTATACTTTCGTGTTTTGTATAACAATGTTGGCAATAAACCAAAGCAAATTAAACCCAACCCATTGCCGTCAAGTTAGCCCGACTCATAGCGACCCCATGTGTTACAGAGCAGAACTGCTCCATAGGGTTTTCTTGGCTGGAATCTTAACAGAGCAGATTGCCAGGCCTTTCTTCTGCTGTGCCACTGGGTGGGTTTGAACCACCAACCTTTAGGTTAGTAGCCAAGAACAAACGGTTTGCGCCACCCAGGGACCCTCATGTTGGTGATGTAAAAGTATAGTTGTTCTGCTGATTTGTAGTGTTTCTGTTGCTTTATGAATTGACAAATGTTCCTCCCCTCACTCTTAGGGTACCGCCCCCTTCCCTCGGAGACTTACCTAGGTGGGCCCTCACCGCTGCCTCCCCCAGTAAGTGACAGGATGAGGAAAAGACGGGCCTTTGCTGATAAAGAGCTGGAGAACATTATGCTGGAGAGAGAATACAAAGAGAGGGAGATGCTGGAAGCTTCCCAAGCTGCTGCCTTGTTCCTGCCCAACCGCTTGGTGCATGGACCTGAATGCAACTCCTACAAAAGCACCTACAGCCCCACCCCTGTGGACCCTCCGAGCAAGGACTTCTGCAGCTTCTTGCCCACCTGCCTTGATCTAACCATGCAGTATTCCGGGTCTGGGAACATGGAACTCATTTCTTCCAACGTCAGCGTGGCTGCGACTTACAGACAATACCCCGTGTCCTCCAGATTTTTAGTTTGGCCCAAATGTGGCCCCATTAACGACAGTCTCCTCTACCAGCAGTGCTTGCTCAATGCCACCACCTCAGTGCAAGCCCTGAGACCCGGGGTGGGCTGGGACTCCAAGGGAACACGCCTCCCGGAAGCACTCAGCGCAGAACATGACGGGATGCCCACCAAAATGGAAGGCTGTTTGGTGCTGCCCCCCATGCCCGAGGTCCAGGGCCACCAGGCAGTGCCCGAGAGATCTGCGTTCTCCTCACCCCGACGGAATTTCTCTCCCAGGGTTGACCCGGACTCCCTGGCAGCTCCGGGGCACATCTTAACCAAGATCAACAAAGAAAGCAACAGCCATCCTCTGCCACTTAAACATAATCCTTTCCACTCATTGTTCCAGCAGACGCTTAATGACAAATCAGGGCCTGAGCTGAAAACACCATTTGTCAAGGAGGCCTCGGAAGGGGCCCCTAAGAAACACCGCGAGTGTGCCGTCAACGAGAACCAGAAGTACACGTTTACAATAGATAGATGTGCAAAAGACCTTTTTGTAGCCAAGCAAGTTGGAACAAAACTCTCGGTGAATGAACCCCTGTCGTTTTCCGTCGAGTCTATTCTTAAGAGGCCTTCGTCTGCCATCACCCATGTCTCCCAGTGAAAGGCCGTGCGAACGCAAAGCTGGGTTTTCTGCCATCTCCTGGGGTTCTTGCCATTCACTCATTTAAAAAAACAAAAATGCCAAGATGTTTGTTTAAAGAAATTTCTAATGTAAATGGTGATGATTTAAAAAATTCTGTATATTCATATGCATGTACTTTCTCTCATCCCATACATCTATTTAAACGTAAACATGGAAGTGGCTTACACGCAAACTGGAACGTTCCTGGCTTCACACGGCATTTCAAAGAGCAATAAAGTTGACACTGTCTTCTAAAGGACCTCGTATTTGTCAAAGTCACTCGTTGTCCCGGTCTAGATGAAGAGGCTCCTGTCCAGGAAACGGGTTCTAAGTTTCCTTGATTCTGTGTATTTTTAAATTATGGTAAATGTGTATGCAGCTAAGCTTGTGCCATGTTGACATTCTTCTCGTGTACGATTTGGTGACGTGAGCTGGGTTCGTCATGTTATGCACCCGTCACCATTAGCAAATTTTCCATCACCCTTAGCACTGATTCTGTGTATTTTGAAGTGTCCTCAATGGTTAGGTTGCTATGAGTCGAAATCGAGTCTATGGCACCTAACCAGGACAACAACAAAGCCATCAGGGTGAGGAGGGTGCCCAGGAAAACCTTTAGGAGGGTTAGTTTTGCATTTTGGAGGGCATGTAAATTCAGCTATTTAAGACTATTTGAGGCAGAGATAGCTTTAAGGAGAGCATTGGGCTGATTTGCATGCTTATATAGAGCCTTAATTTTGTATGATTGAGCAAACTGGAATTAATTGGAAGGGAAATCAAGTTAATATGTCATTTATATGGTAACACAGGTTCTTGAAACGAATGTCCTTTAATTCCTGGGGCCCCGTTTCTTTCCCTAGTGGGGCCTTACGCTCCCGTTCTGTGTGTGTGCTATGATGTTAGATTGTTGGGGTTATGGAGTCCTGGGTGGTGCAAATGGTTTGTGTTTGGCTACTAACCGAAAGGTTGGCAGTTGGAATCCACCCAGTTGTGCCTCGGAAGAAAGGCCTGGTGATCTACTTCCATAGATTATAGCTATTGAAAACCCTATGGAACACAGTTCTACTCTGACACACAGGGGGTCGCCATGAATCGGAGTTGACTGGACCGTGTTGGTCAGGGGTCACAGAGCAGCGACTTTGCAAGTTGAAACCATAATGGCGCACAGGGCCCCTCTGGTGCTCAGCTCTTGTGTTGGTTCACACATTTCCTAAAAATGGATGACAACCGACATTCAGAGGCAGGCCCAGTCACAGCTCAGACGGTCCCCGAGTACTTTATGTCTCCCCCATTTTCACCAGTGTTCAAAGCTCTCCGTGTTGTGCCTTCTGAGATAAAAACATTTCTTATTCGAATTGCTTCAACTGACAGTTGCTGAAGCCTGCAGATATTTATCACAGAGTGAGGGTGACTTCTGGGTTCGTACGCTCTTCCACTCCTGTTTTTCTTCTGGCTTAAAACAACAGACATTTATGCTGTCAAAGTTCTGAGCCTAGACGTCTGGAACCAAGGTGTTAACAGGGCCACGCTCCCTCCAAAGGCTCTAGGGGAAAATCCACGCCCACCTCCCCCTAGCTTCTCGTGGTTGCTGGCCGTCATTGGTGCTCATTGGCTCGTAGCTGCCAATCTCTGCCCCCAGCTTCACGTGATCTTCCCCGCGCGCGTGCTGGTGTCTCCAAATCTCTCTTTCCTTGTAAAGACAATAGCCAACAGATTTGGGGCCCACCCTAATCCAGTAGGAAACCCTGGTGGTGTAGTGGTTAAGAGCTATGGCTGTTAACCAAAAGGTCGGCAGTCCAAATCCTCTAGGCACTCCTTGGAAACTCTACGGGGCAGTTCTACTCTGTTCTCCAGGGTCGCTATGAGTCGGAATTGACTGGACGGCAACGGGTTTGGTTTTTTTTTTTTTTTTTTTTTGTTCCTAATCTGTTACAACCTCGTTTTGATTTGATTACATCTGCAAAGACCCTATTTCTAAATAAGGTCCCCCTATGTTTAAGTTCAGGAGTCCCTGGTGGTAAATGATTAATGCATTCAGCTACTAACAGAGAGGTTGGACATTTGACATTACCCAGAGGCACCTCGGAAGAAAGGCCTGGAAATCTACTTCCAAAAGAATCAGACATCGAAAACACTCTGGAGCACAGTTCTACTCTGACTCAATGGGGTTGCCATGAGTCAGAAATGGCAGCAACAAGCTTTGGTATTTAAGCTCACAGTTACTCTGTTATTTTGCTCAACAAATGTCAACTCTTGTTCTATATGACTGAGTAAAAAAAAAAAAAGATATTTATGAAAGTACTAAGTCCATCCCTTAAAATCTCCCCCATGGACCCCAAATCAAGTTCTAAGCTGTTATAGTCAGCTCAATACAGAAATCAAGAGCCAAATATTTCACTTCAATTCTGAGTGGAGGGAGGTTTTACTCCCACTCTGCTTTCACCTGGGTAACGAGGAAACCAGGTGGGAGTGCGAAGTGATGATGGGCCAAGTGATTCAGCAATTTGACGAGTTGCTTTCTTGCTCTTGCAAACATTTAAAATGATTTAGAAACGATTTTGCTACTGATGAACTCATGAAAACCCCCAGGGATTCTCTGAACTGTTGCTTGAAATTAGCATCCATTTCAAAAACAACAAGCCAAACTTAGATTGATTTTCGGTGTGTACTTGTAAGATAATACTTAGCTGTGTTGCGTCAAATGCACTTATTTCTAGCTTTGGAAAAGCCAGGGCGACTGGAAGGTTGCCATAGGAAAAGAAAAGTGAAAGCAGGCAGAGATCTCAGTATCTGCTCTCAAAAACTGTTGAAGATGGAGTGGAAAAGCGTTCTCCAGCCGAGTGTGTCCTGGTGTCAGATAGAACCTAACTCCAGTTTTCTCTCCTGGCCTTATTCTTAGTCACTCATTCTTTATCTTCATAGCAGGTCTTTTTTGGTTAAGTGTTAAATGTACATTTAGCATGAGATCAAACGGGTTCAGAGGTAATGGAGGAAACCACATTAGAATAAAATCGTCTCCAAAAATCTCAGTTGGAAGAGCCTCTTAATCCAAATGTAGATTTTCTTGCCCTCCAACTCTGTTTTTGTATTTTGAAAAATTTTGTTTGTCCATCTCCTCTTTTTGAGTTGAATGAACATTTTGGGACTTATTTTCTGACCTCTCTCTGTATCATTTTAATCCCGTTCAGTAAATCCCATTGGCTGTGGGTATTAGTGGCTTTCCTCAAGTTACTGTGACTGGAATTTTATTGTTCTTGAACATTTATGAGAGTCAGTGCTTTCCCTGGCAAACGATTATTACACTGTGCGTTAACTCTGCCGTAATGAAGAGTTTTGGTTGGAATTTCAAACCTACAAATCTACCACCAGCCCTGCATTAAGAGCTTGGAGTGTGGCTCTTTGCTTCTTTTTCTTTAAATTGTTGTAAATATATATATATATATATATACATATAGTGAAGATTCTATAGAACAATCCTGATTAAAATTGGGAAAATACAGAGCAGAATTTCAAATTCTCACGGACTCCAGACTTTCTGGGGCCATGGAGGCTGGATGAATCCCTGAAGCTATTGCCCTGAGACAATCTTTAAACCTTCAACCAAAAATATTCCCTGAAGTTTTCTTAAAACCACACAGTAGTCCAGCTTAACTAGTAAAGAATGTCTGCCTTGAGCACTGTGCTCTTTTAAGAATGATCTATATGGGATCAAACTGACAACAGCAACTTGAAGGATTAGACAGGAAATTTCAGGGGCAGTGAGTTTATGTTAATGGGGGAGGAACAATTTGAAAAAGGAAGGTGAGAATGGAAGCATAAGTTGAAGAATGGAATCAATGTCACTGGGTTGTACATGAAGAAACTTGCATTTGTGTGTTTTGCTGTGTATATTCTTAACAGCAGCAAAAAATTAATAAAATTTTAAAGTTAGAAATGTATGTGTAACACAGCATTTGCCAAGTTAACATTGTCTACATGTACAATTCAGTGACACCAGTTACGGGAATTCACTGCCATAAAAGCTGTTATTTGACTACACAGATTCTTCAAAGAACACTCTCATTAAGTTGAACTTGTGATTCAATTTAAGGATTTTCAGTGTTCAAGGCAATAAAGGGATTCAGCACTAATCATTGCTGGGAACACAAAGAATAGTCACAGACCTTTTCCTCAATGTAACTCCCCACACAATATCGTAGCTTCAAGGACACATTTTCTTTCCTTCTCAACTTGGCAAGCATTATTGCTTTGTACTCCATTTACAGTTCTTGGTAGTCTACAATAGTGCATCTCAGACTTCAGGGAGCAGCTGATCACCATCATGTGGGAATTTTGTTAAAATCTGATTCTGATCTGGTAGGGCTGGACGGGGCTGAGCATCTGAAGCTCTAACAAGCTCCCAGGTGATGCCCACGTTGCCGGTCGTGAGTCCACACTTTGAGTAGCAAGTGTTCACAAACTTTCTATTATTTTAATGAACATTTAACACAATCAGCTGTGGATTTTGGGTTTTCATGCAATGGCATTAGCATGGATAATTTTATGTACACAAATAGTTAAAATGCCATTTCCCTTTCTCCCAACCTTTTGGTGGCAGAAGTAGGACAAAACCCAGGCAAAGTCATGAAGTTAACAAAGTTTGTTCCCTGCTCTTCATCCACTCGTCTCTTCCTGATTTTGCCTTCTTCCTGTCTTCCAGAACGGAGCTTTCTCGACTACATCCCTCTCACGTGACCCTCCCCCACCCCCCACTGTGGCGACCCTCTCCACTCCCACCAAGGCAACCTCCGCTATGTCCAGAGAGGCTCTGATATGAGTCACACTCCTTTGAATGTAAGTTTGAGTGAGTGTGTTAATCAGAGCACATGCATTTTAAAGCTTAATTCCAGTTGTGGGATGAAAGACTGTAACTCCTTGTTATGCGTTGAGTCCCCTAAATATGTATTGGAATCCTAACCTCTACCGGTGGATGTGATCCCATTTGGGAGTAGGGTTTTCTCTGTTATGTTAACGAGGTCATATCAGTGCGGGGTGTGTCCTAAACCTAATCACTGCTGAGTTATAAGGAGCAGC